AGGACGAGTACTACATCAGCGATCCCGTCGCACTCCCGCTGCGCGACGGACTGGACCTATACAGCGTCGTCGAATACAAGAACAAACACCTGAAAAGAATCTGACCGCGACGGCATGACTTCAATGGGACGAACAGGTAGGCGGCAGGGTGGATCAAACGTGTTTCATCTGCTGCGTCAGTGCATTGCGGAGCGCATGAGCCTCGCGCGTCGAAGTCAACATGGACACTGGCTGCGGGGGGCGATGAATCCCCCCCAGGTCCACTCGCCGCCTCACCCCGTTCGCGTCTACCTCCCACAACAAATTCTCGTTGAACTCGATTCCTGCATCGAGCAGGATGTTGTGAAGAATGCATACCGCCGTGAACTGCTGCGGCAGACTCTCGAGGTTCGTCTTGTGCGTCCGCAGGAAAAGCCTCCACATCCCTTTCCACCTCCCGAACGCCCTCTCCACGGCCCCTCTTGCGACCTTCTGTTTCGTGTCGAACCTTTCCTCGTCCGGGTGCTGATTGATTCCTCCGTACGGCACCACCACCCACTCAGAAGGAGGATACCCGTTGTCGCCCAAGATGTATCCGTTCGTCATCACCCCTCCCGGAAGCATCACAGGTGGCCCACGAAACAGCAATCCCTCTTCCGCGCGCCTCGACAGACTTAACAGCTGGATCACCCTAATGTCCTGGCAGCTACCCGGATATCCCACGAACACATCAAGGACGCGCAGATCCAGGTCCACCACAACCTGCGCAATGACGGAAAAACGGTGCTTGCGGTCGAAGTAGTTCTCGCTAAGCGCGTTCGCCGGTTTGTCCACGTAGATGTGTGTGCAGTCAACTGCGTCATGGCAATTTGGAAACCCCTTGTCCGGAAAAAGCCCGTAGGATGACTTGTTTCCGCACCCCCGTCGGCCACGATATCTTTTCCCCGTACACCCTCAAAATGACGGCTGTTGCACACGGCTCGAACTCCGGAAGTCCTGCCCATGCCGAAGGATGATGTGCTGTTATCGTAAGACTCTCCTGTGGCCCACCTATACAGCGTGTATGCGACGATCTGCTCCGACTGCAGTGGCTCCCTGTTAAACATCACCTGCCGCTGCACATGAGGCGCACATGCTTCGCTGATCTCCATGAACACTCTCCTCGACATGCGGAGCTTTTCCCGGAAGTAGTCCTCTATCGCGTCATTGCAACCCGTAAATCCTCCCAAGTCCCGCCAGCTCTCCGCCGCATCCACCAACGTGGCGTCGCCCGAGGAAGCAAACCGCTCCCAATAGCAGCACACAGCTGAACCACGGCTTGGGATGTGGTGATGCAGTCCGGGGCGTCCAACACCCTTTGCAGCAGTAGCCTCTGCCGCCGCCTCGAAAACGCTGCCTTCATCTGCCCGTCCGCACTCTCGATTTGAAAACGACGGACAACGGCAACCGCAGCCACCGCGACTGCTGTCTTCTCCGTCGTCGACAGCACAGCAGGTCCATCGCCATCGTAGCCGTCCATCACGTCCCTTGTAGACAAAAAATGACGTCCACCGCTGCCCACCTCTGTGCATGTATGCCGCCACGTGTTGAAGACGCCTGCAACCACGTCAGGAAGACAGCCCGGCCCAACGACGCGATTCTGATCGAAGCGTCCACCCACCGCCGCGGCGCTTGCATGTGGCGAACGCGACTGACGTCTTTGTTTCGTCGCGTCGACCACACTTGACGCACTGGCGGTGCGGCGCCACTCAAATACGCAACCCGATGGCAAACGAAACCCTGGTCGGGCGTAGGCAGGCACGCACACCGCCCGCCTGTGCGCAGCCACCACGTCGCTTCGCAACATCAAAATTCAAAATTCGAATTTCGAAAGGGGATTTTCCCGTGTTGGCGTTTTATTTTCCAAGGGCCCGTGATGTCTTCCCGCCGTCCACGTTTTGGACCACCATCAGAGCTACACGGACATCCCGAATCGGAGGTCGGACATTCCTCTCACGGTTGTGTATAATCTAATTAAACTGGCCGCGGGAGGGCCCCGAGGATTCGTCCTCGGGGCATTTCTCCGAGGACAGGTGGAACGGCACCTCCGAAAATAAAAAATTGCTCCGAGGATTCGTCCTCGGAGCCCGAGGACGCGCTGAGGTGTGTCGAACAATGCCCTTCATCCTCGGGGCATTTCTCTGAGGACAAGTGCTGTCTCTTATACACATCTAGATGTGTATAAGAGACAAGGACAGGTGGAACGGCACCTCCGAAAATAAAAAATTGCTCCGAGGATTCGTCCTCGGAGCCCGAGGACGCGCTGAGGTGTGTCGAACAATGCCCTTCATCCTCGGGGCATTTCTCTGAGGACAAGTGGAACGACACCTCCGAAAATCAAAAAATGCTCCGAGGATTCGTCCTCGGAGCCCGAGGACGCGCTCAGGTGTGTCGAACGACGCCCTTAGTCAGTGTAGCAACTCAAACGTCGAATTACAGGGCAGATAAAACCCATTCATAAGAGAAGGAGACATGACATAGAAGGAAGATGACAAGACAGTACACAAATATCCCGAACGCTATAGGTTGCATCATTAGAAAACAGTGAAAGAACGCAACCAAGAACTCGGACCGAAAGTGAGCAAAGTTCATCGTCAAAACCCTGTCCGAGCGTCTGAGCAAAGCTCATCGTCAAAACCCTGTCTTAGCATCTGGCGGTTGACCCTACATGTTTCATCTGGCTGCCAGTGCCGGAAACGTCAGGGGTCTCAATCACGGCGGTGATAACCTGTGTGCCACCGCAGAAACTACTTATACGAAGAACAGTAGAGACCTAGGCACGAACCGTCATTCCCTAACAAGAACCAGACAAGACAAAAATAAGGGACCCGTGGAACAGCAAGTACCACGGGACCCTAAGCGGGAAGCACTCGAAAAGTCCACAAAACAGTACCCTATTACAGTGCCTCTTTACCATGTGTCAACCAAAAGGGGCCAACGGTGCCCCTACGCCATGAGGCAAAACGCCCATCGAATCAACTACAATGCCCCAATATCCTCGCGTTCGTTTAAACAAACACACCTACTCAAGCATCCGGGAGACATCCCCCACCCGGTCAAACATCTGACCCAACAGTCCCAGATGCCTCCAAACTTAAAAGAGAAATTCAACACAACATTATCAAAGTAATCATCAGTAAACCCACGAAGCCTCAATTCAATCTTCAGGGACAGAAGAAAGGCCCCTACTGCATCCTGCATACTGGAAAAACGTTTAGCACGATGCAAAAACGAAGTGATCACCGCCATTTTCTGCTGGCGACTGGTGTACGACGTAGCATCCTGCAGGTTCTGGAAACGAATCTTCCCATTCCTCACCGAAACCTGATTCTTGTGTACCGCTGCACAACATACCCCCTCTGGATATCCAAGATCATCCACTACGCACCCCAGAAACCCCCAGGGTCCCGATCGGTTCGTGCACTCCAAAGAGAGGTTACTGTCATACGACCCCTCAAAGCCACCCAGAATCCTCCAGGCCTTCGTCTCCTCCGTCACATCTCCCTTTCTAAATTTAATAAAAACCGTCACATCATCGATTAAGCGGATCCCATGTACCACCAGAGAACGATCTGCATCCAACGACGATAAAAAACAAAATTCGAAATAAGCACAGAGCATGCATGCAAGGGTTGGACTTGAGGATTTGCCCATCGCAATGTCGATGTTCTGTCTCAAGATCTCCCCACCTACCTTAGTGAAGGTGTTTGCCAAGTCAAAGGCCACGAAATTTGAGACCACCCCAAAATCAAAACAGTCCCATCCTTCTAACTTCCTCCCCCGTAGGAGCTTAGCACCTTTCCCATGCTTCTTGATCAAAACTCTATCAATACCTTCTCGGTGCCAGAAATCGATCAGCCACTGAAGAGCCTTGATAATCAATTTGTGAGGGAGATTACAGAACAGCTCCTTCACATCATACGCACCAATCAACAGTTCCTCACCATCAACCACATCCTTGTTAATAGCATCAACCTTGCTGATCAAAAGATCAGTACTCTTTATATTGAAGTGGGACCATTTCGGTAATTCCCATACCATTTCATTCACCACCGTTGACACCTTCCTGCACCCACGCACATTTCCTTCCGAAAAGGAAGGACAAATGGGCCGCCATTTCGAAACATCCTTATGCTTCGGAATTGCATAAGCCTGACCCATCTTCCCATTGTCATCCCACTTGGCAAGCACCGACAAGCCCTTCTCCATGTAGCTTTGCTTCAGACTACCCAAAACAACAGACTCCTCTCGACGTACCACCTCAAAACAAGCATTTGACAGAAACAACTTATCCAATCCGCTTCGATAGACCACTGGGCAACACACCAAGATGTCACCTGGATTGTGATCAATGGGACGCGGACCAAACCCTCCATCCTCTTGATCCAATCCAAGACCTCCTTCAAACGTACATGTGGCCCGAGCATGTCGCACCCAACCCCATCATTCAAACATCCAACCAAATCATTAGCCCGAGGAGCCGAAATCACAAAACCGACACAAGACAGACTTTCCGTAATCTCTTTCAACCGGCGCGTGGTCAAATTCTGCGTATTAGGGACAAAGATGTTACGAGAGTTCTCCAGCCATGCAGGAACGAAGCCAAGCTCACTTAATCGCCAACAAACATGACCCCCGACTCTGGTCCAAGAACTGTCCGACGCCGAACAAGAACAAATCGAGGAACCCGACTGTGCGAAGTTCCTGAAATTAAACATAATATCACCAATACTCTTGTTCTTGACCAAAACGACCCGTGAACGTCGAACCACCAACTCTTTCCAGTCGACGTTAGCCTCCGCTTACTTAAATGACTTCTTACAAAGATCCTGAATCCCTGGTTTGCTCAAGCGATGATCATAGGTAATACGGACAGTGAGTCTGCGATGAACATTATCATCGAATCGCCTACGCAAAACACAGGAGATAATCAGGTGGAGAGAACAGCGCGTCCTCTTCTCATAAAAAGCACGAATCGCCAGGAAGCAGCGAATCAACGGTCCAAAATCCCATGCATACAAATCTTTGCGACAAGATGGATTGGCTTCAAATAGCACAGCTTAGAACAGAGGGAGACAATGTTAACAACAGTCACCACCGAACCTTCCTGAAAGCACCCTCGATATTTTTAAAGAATACCAGAGTCACCAGCCGATCGAACCAACGAAGTTCCGAACCGACGTTTCACAATTTTCCAGTCATCAATAAAACGCCCACCCGTTCCACAGTAAATATCCACAAAGGTCTTTAAGTTATTCAAGCTCAAACACTCATCCAAGATACGTATCAATGAGACCGAAGCACGTCCTGGCGACGAACGAAACGAGAGATGCGGATCAATAACGGTGTTCCCAAGAAATCTCATTTTCTTCAACTTCTCCCTACACCGCTCACGCTTACCCTTCCTCCTCCTTTTGCCCTTGCGTCTCACATCTCTCGAGTTAAGGCTCGGATTGGCCAGGTGAATAAAGTTCTTTTCAACAGAAATGAGGTCATACTGCTCACATCTACAGAAAGGTAACATCACATACTGGGCCAATCCACATCGTCGTAACCATGCATACAATCGGTGGTTCCGCTTACCACCCTCAACCACCTCTGAATTCAAACATCGATACAAATGCTCATTCCACCGAACGGCCAGAGATCGACCAGTAGATCCCAAGTACACATGCCGGGACCAAGGAGAAACCAAAGCATACACCCATGCGCCATCACCCGTATCCAAATCCTCATCATCACGTAGCACTCTCTCCAGGTAAGATTTGAAATTTTCCGCCCACTGAATAGCATCGCAAAGAATAAGTTTCAGCACCACAAGCCGATAAAATCCATTAAACTCTCTATTACGCAGAAAAAAGTCGGAGTCAGCGTCCTTACCTATGCGATGCTCATGAAGCCTCCTAGAAATAACCGCCCATTTCCACAAATGGTCGCGCTCGGGGACCACACCTAAAGCTCAGCAGAGCAGCCATCTCCCAACTTCGAAGATTCAACAACAGGCGGGGAGTCCTCAGAAACTTCATGGACAGGGACCTCCTTGTCCGCCTCCTTACCATCATTGTTGTTACTGCCAAATGCTTTGTTAGCCCGATGTTCCGTGAGATCATGAATCATAAGCTCTATAGCCCGAAGCTTTAATCCGGTTTCTCGACACAGCATCTCCAGCCCAGACTTTTTATAATTTCGAAGATCCTTCTTCTGAGCTTCGACATGCTGAAAGCGTTCATTCACCCCACCCGAGGCAGCATCCCCATCACCTAAATCCCGTCTGGGGGTGGCTTTCAAACCTTTTCGAGTGGATCGAACAGCCGCCGCATCCAGCCTCGTTTTCAAGTTAGTCCCACCTCCTTCACCACGTTGACCAGTCCCAACAGCTAGCACCTTGTTCAATTGCTCTTTCAACTTAACCACTTCTCCTTCCGCTACGACACGCTTCCCTTTCAACACTTCAGCCTCGAGACCAGCAGCCCTATGCATTTCCTTCATCCTGCATACTCTTGCTTCCATTTATGCGCTTCGCGGATGTTATCCGTCCAACGAGGTTTTGGTGATGCGCGAGGCGGGCCACCCGGAGTGTCGATCGCAATGCTGCCACACTTATTGCCTGGCCTAAGAGCTTCACCCTTCCACAGTTCGGTTTTTTCCCAGTCCTTAGCATTCTGCAGTTTCAGTCGTCCTACTTCGATGTGAAGGTCATCCAACTCAGCCTGAAAGTTGTTCCTCGTTACGGCTGCAGTCCTGAATTGCTCAATCTCGTGCTTCATTGCACATAAATCATCTTCCGGAAGACGTTTATCCGAAACCTGCCTCTTCAACTCCATGATCTCTCTCTGCAACTTAGTCACCGTATCTTCATCCGTTACACCATCGTCTGACGTAACCAATCACCTCAGCCTATCATTCTCCTTTTTTATCTTATCCAATTCTTCTCAAGGCTGCACTCTTCTGATTTCTCCTTCAAACGAGGATAATTCTTCTCCTCCATTCGTTTACCCAAACGCGCACTCATCTTTGCTTCCAAGCGCTCCTGTTCTTTCCTCCACTCCTCCTTTCGATCCTCTTCCTCCTTCAAGGTCTTCTGCCGTTGTTCTTCTTCTTTACGCTTTGCTTCTCTTTCTTCATCTGCCACTGTCTTGGCAAAGCACCGATCCAACTTCTCTTGATTCAGTCTCGAGAAATTAGGACGACCAAAGGAAGAATTAGAATTGCAACCAGATCCCGGGGCATAACCTTGAGAGGAAAACCCTGTATTAGGCACATCACCGACAAGAGCCGGGAAGGCAGGAAGAGGAATAATATTGGCCGACAAAGTCGACGAGCCACTCTCACGTAGTCTAATCTCTACGGAGGTTACTACGTAGAAAAAAGTGTGGCCGCTGAGGAGCCCGCTCTTTTTTCATTTCGCAGCCAAAGGCTGCATCTTACCCCGTTGCTTACCCCGTTGCACTTTGTCGTGTAGCGGGGCTTTCCTAAAAAAGAATGTAGACAACGGGGTTTATGGGGCGTCCAGAAGGTGTGCGGTCGGGGGCAGGGCACAGACCGTCGGCGCAAAGGTTGGAGTGGGGGCGACCAACAGTAGGTGGCAATAGGTTAATCTTTGGTGGCGGCGGGCCTTTCCTGTTTGAGGTTGGCCGGCCTTCGTTTTTTAGTTTGAGTGGCCGGGTTGTTTTGGGGGGTTGTTTTGGGGGGTTGTTTTGGGGCAGGCGGGGTCTAATAAGTGACACGGAAGGGATGGCCAAACTCCCTCGCTCCACCACTCACAGACTATGCAAAATGTGAATGAATCTTCCGCTAGAACATGGAAATATACACCGCCATAGTTTTTGTCTTTTGTGCACGTGTTCAGTAGTGCAGCGAGGCCCAAAGGTAGGGTTCAAGTCCTTTGTGCATGTGCTGAGTAGTGCAGCGAGGCCCAAAGGTAGGGTTCAGGTCTTTTGTGCATGTGCTGAGTAGTGCAGCGAGGCCCAAAGGTAGGGTTCAGGGCATAGCCACACCATTCTCGATATTTGCAAAATGGGAATGAACTTCCCGCGAGAACATGGCCAGATGCATCCGCCATATTTTTTATTTTTTTTTCACATTTCCAAAGTGGTGTGGCGAGGCCTGGCGAGGCCCAGAGTCCACGGCGGTAGATCGATGGTGGTGGAGGCAGGAGGAGTGAGAAAAGCGCCACCTCGCCTGTCCTGCTCCTCACCCCCGATTGGCTGTGCCCCCGCGCCCTGCGCTGTACAGAGTTCATTTTTTTGTTGTCCTTTTTGGTCTAGGAGCGTAGCCGACATAGGGGCAACATGACCGTGAATCGTGCTCGAATCAAGTCTGATTCAACGAAGCCCTGAATCAACTGGGGCGCTTCAAACAATATATAGGGCTCCGGTGGTAAAACTTACAACATAAATAACAGCTAGAGGGGTCTAGTTGATGACCGAGGTAGGGGACGGATGGTGACTGTAGACCCTGCAATGACAGAGGCTAGGGTACCTCCAGATGACATATAAATCGCCAGTACACAGCCCCAATCTTGCAGAAAGTGGGAGGAGAACTTGTCCCCCCCGCCATGTCTGCTCAATCAAACGACTACAATGTTCAGGATGCTGGTCCCGCTTTCCAGCAGGTGCTGCTCCCCACCATTAGATGGAGCCTCAAGGGAAGTGTCGGTAGTGGTGCCTGCTCATACCACCACCCCTAGCATCCACTCGGGTTGTTAAAAAAAAAAGACAAACTAACAAACAAACAAACAGCTTTCGGAGTCGGGCAGCCATTGATAAATTTCATCAAATTGAATGGTTCTTGTTCGCATTTCCGGCCTCCAAAAGTTGTGGTGAGGGATCCGCGGCTGATGTATGGTTGTGTACTAGTGCTATAACCTACAACGATCAGAGAGCAATGGTACAACCACAAGATAGTGACCAGAGAGGGGGCTAGGGGGACGTCTATGCGACTCTATAGGTAGAGCGGAGGACGATCGTCGTACATCTACTCGTAATAGGCTAGAACCTCTAGGTTGCGATTACGACAACAACAGTGCATAGAACGGACAATACAAGTATACACAATTAGAATAATCCATAATAGTTGTGCTAGATGGGTAGACCTGGGTTATCCAGAGGATGTATGGGTTAGGGGGGGCATTAGACACTACCTGTGACACCAACCAGCGCTAGAAGTACCCGCAGGACAGGGCTTGTCCGACTATGCTAAGACTTCAATCAAAGCCGAGCAGGGGGGGTCCTGCTTAGCCCTAGTGCCAACAACCACGGTCGGGTCAGGTCACCCCCACTGAGATGGGTAGGAGGGTGATAGTGGTAAACACTGGGGTAGGATTGTGGGACTCAGTGGGAGTAGAGTTGCACCAGGGAGAAATATTAAGAGAGGAAGGTTGGGAGGGAGTCTCATAAGGAGTAGGACAAAGTGGTGGAAAAAGAAGGATATTATAGGGCCTCGCCTCATCACTCACCGAACTTGAAATTGGGTGGTGAGTTCTCATCAATGAGGAAAGGACTCCAAGACTCGCCAGACGGAGGCCTCACCGCAGCACGTCAACAAACTTATCTTCTCTCAGCCTGGGTATTATCCAGAGCGGTCGGCTGAAAGAAAATTAGTCCAGACTGCTGGTCTTGACATGTCAGCTACTCACAATTTTCGTGAAGGACGCCTCGCCGCACTACCTCACCAAATTTATTTTCTCACAGCGTAGTATTTAGACTGGTCGGCTGAAGACAACGCAGGAAAACAGAAACTGGTCCAGACTGCTGGCCTTTACATGTCAGCTACTCACAATTTTCGTGAGAAGAGCTAAGGATTTACCAAACTCCCTGCCTGCATCCGCAGTTTTGCTGAGTCCTCGCCAATGCTACTTTCACCATAATGATTTTGAAAGATTCTGGTGAAGTGGTGCAGGTTGTGCAGCGACACAGATGTCAACAAAATACGAATTTGGTGAGTCGTGCAGCAACTTGAAGGCCTATAAAGCCGCACAGGCACACTTGTGTGATGTCGCCATGACCGTAGACCCCCCTGGATCAATAGGTCGATGAAGTTCGTGAGTTTTCGAACTCAAAATTCGTTTTCACACAGGGATGGAGCACATCATTCCATAGTTGTGATTGGCCAGTCTCATAACAAAACAACAGAAGAAACGTCACCGCTTCAAGTTGATGAGTTTTTACTATCCAGTGCATGCACAGTAGAAGCACAACCCCTCCCCCGCTAAAACGAGAAACAAAATGAGTGGAAAGATCATTGTGCTCATGGTTTGGCCTTTTGGGGAACTTGCTCTGTTGAAACCCACACCGGCGACACCGCAACCGGCAACGGCAATGGAAGGTGGATGCTTCAAGGGAACTTCAAGATTTAGGCCTCGCTCCACCGCTCACCAATTTAAATGCGAAAAATGAGAATAAATCTGCAGCTAGAACATGGAAATATGTGCCGTATTTTGTGTCTTCTAGACTACATCTGTGATTCAGCTGGTGACTGGACTCCAAAGACCTGTTTCGATTAAAAATCAAACTTCGTTTTTGACATTGCCATAGTCACCTAAAAGTGTTTGTTCGTTTGTTTTTATACCTCTATTTTCTTATGTCTCAAATTCTCATTTCTGACCTCTTGCAGTTTGCAAGGGGTCGCAAACATAGACCGTTGTCTTAGTCCCCCTGTAGAGGAACCTTGCACCTGGGGCCGGTCAGTTCAATGACAATACGTCGAGGCTGTCACACAATCTTCATTACTACCTTGTTGGTAGTGTTTACTCGAAGCAATATGGCAATCAAGAGATTGCTCACAAAACACTCAACGTACAAATGCACGTTCACAAGTACACAGTGTAACCATTGAAACAAAATTGAAAGAACTCAGGTATAGCAGGATAGGTGTCCCCGACGCCGCGTTTCAATGACAGGCACGTCATCATCTTGAGGGGGTTTCCTACATCATCCCCCAACTATGCGTTCTTCCCCATTCCCGCTTCCATTCGCGTACGTACCGCAGTCCGGACTGCCCATACCCACGTTAGAACGTCAGTCCTGAAAGAGGCTACTGACTATGCAAACTTCCTACTTATTGGAACGTCAAACTTTTTTGTCCACTAGGCCCGAATAGTATGTACCTGCGGCCTCGTGCGTGTCCCCTCGTACGTGAAAAAGTTATACAAACTAACACTACGGTCTCTAGTCTATCTGAGAAAAAAAAACAAGACAACTGCATTTCGACAAGTAGTGCGTATTCGAGCCCCCGAAGAAATCCTGAAAAGTCGATAAAATCGATACGACTCCATTGGTCCCCGCAGACCTTATATACGAAAGCCTGTCCAAATTTTCGGAACCAACCGCCTGCTGCCACCCATCATCCAAAATCACCTCACCAACTATTAAAATCCCAAAATTCAAAAATCCTAACCGAACAAGTAAACAATGGGAAACGTTCGACATTGGTATTCCTCAACTTCACAGTCCAGATAGGAGGAGAGACGGTTAACGGGGGCCTAAATATTCGCCGTTTTCGTTGGCAATTGCGGCGCCACTATTTGCTCCCAAATTGTCGCCCGGTGCTTTGCGAACCGCTCTAGTACTCTCATGAAGAAATCATGCTCAAAACCTTTAATCCTCAATTTTTTTTTCACGGTCAAAGCACGTATAGGGATAGTTGAAGGAATTGTGGTATTCTTATCTATCCGATGTAAGTAACTTCCGATGATTGAACTCTTCTGTTTTTTTTAGCTCCATGATCTGAATGTTTGTCCGTTCTGGAAGACAATCTTCTCTTCTGCCCACAGACTCTGTTCGTCCTTAGATTGTTGGATACTACCCACGCATGGGAGGCATCCAGACACCTTGATCTCACATCCCAGAAATTCAAAATTCCCACATCCATCATTGGTCCACTTGAGCACGAGATTATCCGGGTAACATTCTTTGAACCTTTTTACGATATCCGCCTTACTTTCTTGAGGGATAGCCCCCAAGATCCACTCCACGTCGCCCATGAGACGTATATCGAAAACCTGGTTTCGCCATCTGCCCAGGCTTACGATGAAGGTATACTCTGCATATGCATAGAGAATGCATGCTAGGGGTGGGCTTGTGTTTTTTCCCATCGGGATTCCCACGTCCTGCCTTAGCAGTACTCCTGTAGCTTTCGTATAAGTGTGCTGCAGTTCCAGCGCAACAAATTTCCTTAAATCGTCCAGACTAAGCTCTCTCCTGCAGTCTTTCCCCGTCGTCCTCCCAGACGTACTCCCCTTCCCTCTCGGATTCACCATAATTGAACGTCTGCCCTTCTTCTTGTGATACTCCACAATCCAATCCACAACTCCCCTGATTTTTTCGTGAGGCAATTTACTGAACATTTCCTTAATATCAAATGGCATTGCTTCCACCGATCCCTCACTCCGAGTCCCTTTCAACTTCTTGTTGATTCGAGCTAAGCGTCCAACCATGTGCTCTACTGCTTGCATGTTGAAGTGCCAGTCCTTTGGCAAAGTGAATAGGAGGTGGTTAAGAGCCTTCGCCACCAATCTTAATGTTTTCACCATGGGATCATTAAATGCAGGACAGATTGGGCAATATCTGTCGAGGTCCTTGTGCTTTGGAAGCACATAGGTCTTGCCAAATTCCCCTTTCTTGTCCCATCTCACAAAATGTTTCAGTCCCTCTTTCTCCACATCTTCTCTGATTTCCCTAAGAATCACTCCTTTCGTACTAGTCATCACACGATAACCTGGATTGTTGGCAAAGGTATCCATCATCGCCTTGTGATAGACCGCTGGGCATATCGCCACTGTTTCTTCTGGATTTTTATCCAACGGTGTTATGACGAACCCTGTCAATTCCCTCTTCACACTTGCAACCTCCATAACACTAATCCTGTCCTCGTTATCCTCCGGACTTGAGATACATGCGACCAACCGTTCTCTACTAACTTTCGAAATATTACCACGAAAATTATACCAATTAGCAAAGCTATCTTCCACCTCATGCTTCAACAACTTTGCACGGTCCGCTACAGTCGCCCGTGGAATGTCGTTGGCATTCCCCATGCGAACATGCCTATCCTCGCCTTTACTGAATCGGAATCGCACGTGCCCTCCCTCCCGGGGGTAGGGCAAATCTGCACAAGTACAGATCAACACCTTCTGAGCCGCATAGGCTCGTTGGTTGTGCAACAGGTCCTTAACTGCCAGATTCTTCGTCTGGACTATGCGAACCTTCCTCCGTGCTCGATTCCTAAAACACTCAGGCAACTCACATGTCGTGATACAGTCGTTGACCACCTTGTGCAATTCGACTAGCTTAACTCTAGCATCGTACTTAGTCTTCACCACCAATCCTTCCCTGACTATCCTTGACACTTGGCGCCTCATATACTTGCGAGTAGACTTCTTACCGAAATCTCTAACCACGTTGTACAGTCTTATTACAACTTTAAGGTCCCATTCGTAGATACTTGCCAGCTTCCCCGGGTTTCTCATGATCCCTATCAGTATTTGCTTTAACTTATTACCTTGCGGTTTCCATGCTCGCAGATGTACCACTTCAAGCAGACCACCCTGTTCAAGTTCCACTTTGAGTTCCTTTAAAACTCCCGTCCATCCTCCAATTTTTACTGTTGATTCTCCAAAGGCCTTCCTAACCTTCTGCCACCTGGGAAACCACGTGTTACCCCCATTAGCTTCTATCGGGAAGGTACGTATACCCTTCTTATCGTACTTCGTCAGTATGCTCGGCAAATTCGAGGACCATACTCCGTCATCCTTGAATCGAATAGGTATAACAACCCTTTGACTACCTCCCTCCATGTCCTCCCTCGCTCTCCACCACTCCGCTCGGCCTTTCCTACCCCTTTTTAGTCTCTTTCTTCCCGACCTCTTTGCTCCATTGGTATTCAAAAATGGGGACCATTGTGTTATATACAAATTCTCCAGATCAACAGGGTCAGATTCGCTGGTTGTATCTAGCGGCAGTAGGACGTAGTTAGCGGCTCCAAAGTATCCCAACGATCTATAGAAGTGAGTGTGTATACGTGATTTGCTTGCTCGGAGGTGTTCCCTCCATCTTATGTTTAGTGCTCTATTTGTCCTCCCGATATGTTGCAACTTACAAAATGGGGAAACCGCGACATAGACACAACATTTAGCGTTGACAAAATCTACCCCGTATACTTCAAACAATCTTCTCCATAACGACCATTTCGTCAAAATGGACATTTTTTATTTTTTGAACGAAATTGATCCCAGTTTTTTGGCCGAAAACTCGTCAAAATTTGTTGTTCCTGAAAACGCTGGACCCCCTGGCTGTACATGGATCTAGCTTGAGACCAGGCACCTCCAGGCAGGACTGCTTGGAGGTACCTGGTCTGAAGCTAGATCCATGTACAGCCAGGGGGTCCAGCATTTTCTGGACCCTCAGGAACAACAAATTTTGAAGAGTTTTTGGCCAAAAAACAGGGTTTCAATTTCGTTCAAAAAATAAAAGATGTCCATTTTGACGAAATGGCAGTTCCATGAGCTAATTAGCTTACGGTTTCATTTGATCTCACCTCTAACTGATAGATTGAAGATGCATAATCTCATCAATTCTTCGACATCTGCATTTACGTTTGGAAACTTGCATCGCAAGCTCGTCAAATTCCGTACTAGGCGCCAAAGTATTTTCACCCAATCTCTAGCTAATGCTTCACCCCCTTCTCCGGGTTCATCCACAGTTGTGTCATCCTCATCTTTCCTCAGTGATTTTGATCACCTCCTCCTCCTGATGTGCCACTTCCTCAAAGTTGAGTCGTGTGCGATGACTCGCAATATCGAAGATGGCATCAATTTTTCCCGCATAGCAAATCCCTTCCTCCTTGCAGACTGCTTGCAGTTCAGCCGCGTCGAAACCCTTGATCTCCTCCATAACCTGGTTTCGGTATCTCAGCTTTGCTACTGTCCCTCTAGTCGCTGGCGTCTTCATTTTTTCCACGATCGGCAACAACTTAGTCTTGATCTTCCTTTTTGACCTTGTCATCCGTGTCGTCAGGTTCACTGACTTTAACTTTGAATTCCTGGTTTCGATGACCGCTTCGGGGGGGTCAGCATGGGAGAGTTGTTCTCTAGAACAGGTTTCGGCCCACGTTTCCGCTTTACTGTCGTCGTCCTCTTGCCAAACTTCTGCAGCTTAACCTCTATACTGCTCCCGCTGGTCTCTATCTCGGAGCTAGACCCTTCAGAGGACACACTAGCTGCCTTTTGTTTGCCTTTGTTCTTCTTGCCCTTTGGCGGTGCCGAAATAAATTTCGCCTCCAACGTGTCGCATAACTCACTTATTTTAATGGACACTGAGGTCCACACTCTTATCGATCTCCGCCATTCTCATCTCCTCTTTTATGGCCTTCTCAGTTTTTTCCGTTGCCTTCCTTTCCTTAGCTCGTTTCTCCTCCTCCGCCCTTTGCTTGGCTTCCGCTTTCTCCCTCTTGCGACGCTCCTTTTCTTCCTTCTTAGCCCTCTGGTTTTGTACAAACTCAGTCACTACCTCCAGATTACGTCCCAGCTCTTGTATCTTTGACGTCACTTCCGGATCCTGGAAGTATGATCTCCTCTGGCAGGGTCGGTCATATCTCGCTAGTGATACCGACCTACCACGCCGTGAATCTAACGATGATGACGGACGCTCCAAATATCTAGCCCTCTTGGGGTGAGGACATTGGTTTGTGTAGTGTCTCTCTTCCCGACAATTAAAACACGTCGGCCCTCTTCTCGTTCCTCTCTCATCTCGCCCTCTCATTTTCTCTGATCTTCATCCTCCCTCCGTTGGGGGTCCTGCTGCTCGCGTCCCGCCATCCTACGAACCTTAGTAGTTCGCCCGCGTCTTCACTCTCAAAGTACTTCCTCCTTAGATGTCTCCAACAACAACTCCTTGACTCGAAGGTTCGCACCTCCAAATCTCATAAAGCACGCTCACTCCTCCCGGTGATCTCCTTCAGGTAAGTTCACGTGTGCCGTCAACAGGTAGTGTTTACTCAAAGCAATATGACAATCAACAGATTGCTCACAAAGCAGTCAACGTACACAGGGTCTCGTTAGACACTCCTAAAAGTGTCTGTTTTTAGGATTGCATTTTGGTTGCACGCAATCCTAAATCTAATTTTGAGATCGAAAATGTGAAAACGGCGTTAGGAGGAGTCCTAAAGGATTTAGGATTCCCCAGGCAAAATCGTCCTAAATTTTCTAGTAGCCCCCAACCTACTGAAAAAATTAGGATTCCCGTGTTTCACGGACTCGTTGCGTCGCGCGCATGGCACCGTCGACACGGAGTTGCTGGTGCAGAAGTGGTCCGTCGGGTCAGTGGTTGGACATCAGAGGTTTTCTGCGGGTCGACGCGGGCAATGGCCACGAACGGCAGCCGTTGGCGGGGATTGGACGGACATTGGCAGGAATGGACGCAAATTGGCGATGCGGCTGCGTATACGCATATGAAAACCTGTCGCGGAAGACCTTTTAGGACGAATCCTAAGAGATGATTTTTAGGATTGCGTGTAACGACGTCGCACAAAATCCTAAAAATCCTTTAGGACTCGTCCTAAAGATTTTAGGATTCTTTTAGGAGTGTCTAATGAGACCCAAATGCACGTTCACAAATAAACAGTGTAGCCATTGAAACAAAATTGAAAGAATTGAGGTACAGCAGGAGAGGCGTCCTCGATGCCACGTTTCGATGACAGCCACGTCATCATCTTCAGGGGGTTTCCTCCATCATCCCCCAACTATGTGTTCTTCCCCATTCCCACTTCCGTCCGCGCACGTACCGGCAGTCCGGACTGCCCATACCCACGTTAGAACGTCGGTCATGAAAGAGGTTACTGACTATGCACACTTCCTACTTATTGGAACGCTAAACTTTTTGGTCCACTAGGCCCGAACAGTTTGTACCTGCGGCCTCGTGCGTGTCCCCTGGTACCTGAAAAAGTTATACAAACTAACACTACGGTCTCTAGTCTATCTGAGAAAAAAAAAACAAGACAGCTGCATTTCAACAAGCGGTGCGTGTAGGCAGAGCCCTGGTGATCAACAATGTGGTGCTTGTCTCTCTGTGGTACAAATCGGCCATCTGGGGGTTAGACAAAACCTCCCTGAGAACCCTGCAGCGACAGCTGGCTGCTTTTTTGTGGCGAGGGAATCATGAAAGACACAATGTTATCAGCAGAGTCGCATGGCAACCGATTATCCAACCCAAAGTAAAAGGTGGATTGGGCATAATTGACCCGACAACGCAGGTCAAGGCTCTTGCCATACAATGGCTCAAACGCTTGCTCTTCTGCCCACGCACCCCGTGGAAAGACCTGACACTGGAACAGATCTCAAGATTAGCTCCGGAAACACCGGCCCACATCAACCCGCTCACATGGATTGAAAATAGAGAATGGCCAATCTCGCGGTGGTCCCGACAAGAAAATGTCGTTGTCAACTCACCAAGAAGAGAGGCAAGGAAGGACCTGCACAATGACTCCTTCTGGCCAACCCTATTACGGACATGGAGAAACCTCCCCCTGCCAGACAAAATCCAACCAGAAAGATGGGAGGAGGTGGCCAGACAACCATTGTTTGGGAATAGAAGGATAACTAACACAAGAGGTCAGATGCTGCACTGCACGGACGCCCCGTGGAGAGGATGGGTGAAAAAGAGGGTTCTTAAATTTAGGGACATCTGGGACGGCGATAGAAGAGATTGGGTCACAAGGGATCAACTCAAGGAAAAACCGAGGTACTGTCACAAACCGGAGGAGGCGCTAGATGACCTGATTGAATGCATCCCCCTGAACTGGTGAAAAATCCTGAGAAAGGGTCCGGTGATACGAGAATCAGACTGGGTGCTAATTCGGGGCCACCAGGGAGAAGTAGGCAAGGTAGTACGCAGCGTCCCAAATAGACCAGTGGCGGTTGATATCCACACAATTGGCAACGACAACTCCCTCCAAAAGGCCAATCCCGAACGGACACAATTGGTCGGGGAGCAGGAGCTCTCACGCATTAGAGTGCTGAAGGAAGACCACAGATGGGTGGCATTCTTCCCCGACACTCCGATATCGTAACTACCCTTAGATCCCCAGGAGTGGGTATGGACGAACACAATAGGCAGAGGCAGAACCAGCACTAAAACACTATATGATATCACGGTCAAAACAACATACCGAATGCTCCGGCCAAAAACCGGCCTGCGGGACAGGGTGGAAGCGAGATGGATGAACCAGTTGAACATCAGCAAAGTTTCACTGAGAAAGGTCAAATGGTTCCAACTGACCAAAAACAAACCTGCTAACTTGGCCTCTGTGCAGTGGCAAATGGAACACAGGTGCCTGCCTACCAACAATTGGTTGATAGACAGGACCAATCTTGAACAGAAGGGGCTCGCCCTGTCTTGGTGTAGATTATGCTCAAATGCATTCCCATCGAGAAAGAGACCCGAGACAGTAGAACACATATTCCTTCAATGCCCGGGCGCTGTCTGGCTCTGGCGATGGTGGGATAGAATCTGGGATCAGCTGGGAATAGGGTCACCCTGGCCGTGGGATTGGAAAGCCTTGATGTTTGAAATTTGGCCCGTGGAACAGCCGGACGACTTCACGCTTAACATGTTCCCACAAGGACGCCAGGCAGTATTGTGGGCACTATGGAGACGACGCTGCACCTATGAAATGGAAGGCGTAAGGTTGGAAGGTCCAGAATTCACGGAAAGCATACAACAACAAATCCAGACAAACATTACAGCGAGATGGGAAAAAGTGAAAATGCAAATCAAGTACACCCACACTCAGAATGAAATAAAACAGAAAATACAAACTTTCTGCAAAGAATGGCTCGGGGGAGAAACGGGGGGGAGGTTGGGAAAAGTGGAATGGCAAGGAGGGAAAGAGGGGCAGGAGGAGGCGCAGATAACCAGAGACTACAGACTCCTCTTTAATGAGTGGACCAAGCTTGATGACTC